GGGGTTGTGACACATTTCTGAGTGAAAAATGTGTAGTAGCGATAGAAACAAGAAATTTATTCCGCCAGTTTCTCCAACTGAATATAAATACTGTCACGTGTGGTTTGTGCGTGACTTTTTAAGACGGGTTTCTAATTGTATGATTGGATTTCTTGCCATCTTATACACACACAGCTCCGGACTATAAGCAATACAACGCTATCGCTGATTTACACACTTTACAGTTAACCGTTACACACGCACTAGTCGTATCCTGACAACGGATTTATAACCGTCTCACTATCACTTAAATTCACACATGCAGTCCTCTTTGCACAGCCTAGTTCCCTTTTTGCCATTATTCTGCAACTGCCAACTAAATTCAGTTCCAAGCTCATACCCCGGCAGGCTGACGTCTCGAACTCGGCTCTATTCTCTGCCGCCCATATAAACACTTCATTATATTCACTTTGCACGGACCACGAAAAAACACACAGCCTCTATTGTTAAGGAGGCGTGTTAACTCATCCATTGCCTAGCAACGGACTTCCTATTGTTGCGCGCGTTTGCTTCCGATTGAATGTGTTTAGAGAGTCGTTGCCCAGCAATGGGTAAACGTCACAATATGGATCATCTAACCTCTAACCCCATGGAGCACAATGTGTCTTAATAAGCTAACAGTCGCTCATCTAATCAATGAAGTTACACTCATAGTTCCCAAAGTTTCGTTCCCGTAATTAAAACAGCCCGCCGCTGGAACATATCCCGAGCCAGATAAATCCGGTCTGCACCTTAACTCCCTACTACTTACGATATGTATTAATGTTATAATCCTATCTACGCCTAGATTTTCCAGATGCTCTACGTACAAACACATAACCACTTCACATAAATTTTCCTTGATGCGCATGTCTGTTGCTTCTTGCATGGGAAGTGGCATCCCTAATCAAATAAAAAGGTAAAGTTATCCCTGTAACATGCCATTGAGGTCCATAGGGGTGTGAGAGGTTGAGACTAACCCATTTTCTGGACAATGGGCTCACAGATGGCGGTAAGATTGTCAGCCTTACGTGCCGGCCGCCCTTTATCCCCCAGGAAGATTTCTGGTACTCATTTCCGTTAGAGGCTGATTCGACCCCCAGGGACACTGTGCGACTGGAAGAATTAGGTAAATTGAAAAAAAAAATCCACCTCATCGGGACTCGAATCCGCGACCTTCCGGCTTGTAGCATAGTGTCTCAACCCACCACGCTACCGCGTACCCCACTTTCCACAACAGTGTATTAAAATCGATCCCGTCAACATGTAGTTGGCTGCGTGGCACTAAGTTCTTGAGAAGATGATAATTGCTCATCTGGCAAAGAAATCTCTCGCTGTTATCAGTCCGAAATCTCATCACCCTTTACATAAGAACCCAATCAACACATTCTGTTTCCTTAAGCTCGACTTTAGTAACATTCTTCCATCTCATCCAAACCTTCCGAATAGTTTTTCTCTCTTCAGATTTCCGAAATACTGCATAAATTTCTCATCTCCCGTGAGTGCTACACGTCCCGCCTATCCCATTCTTTCTTCATATATTCAGCCATATAATTATGTTTGGCGACAATTACAAATTTAAAGCTATTCACTATGAAATTGTTTGAGTCATGCTGTTCTGTCCGCAATACGGTCTCGATAACCCTCAATTTTTATGGGCAACTGCATCTCGTACGTTACCCATTAGTTTGCAGACATTCAAACTCTGAACTGTAGATATCACTACATATGTTCCAAAGACGTCGGTCAAACGCTTTGCGACTGGTTTCCAGAAATGAAAAGTCTCTTATATAGAAATGTCACTGCACGTGACACGAATATCGACATCGTTTCGCCGGTCCTGTTCGGCCACTTCTTCTACACCACTGTCATCACTGCAGCCTATACGGCTAAGTATAGGCGTTGCTTTTTGTCTGAAAACGTCCATGAGTGGAGTCCACCACACTTTCCAACAATACAGTCAATTTTCAACCATGCGTAGTAATAGTAATAGTAAAGCTATACCGGTAACAGGCCGTGGAGGGCCCATTGCGTTGTGAAACGTCGAGGATCCCACAAATGGCGGTGAGTTTAGCCCTATGCACCGGCCGCCCTTTACCCCCAGGTAGATTCCTGATACTCCCTTCTACTAGAGACTGAGTCGACCCCAGAACCATAGTACGGTTGGAAGTATTAGGTCAATTGAAAAATTGATCTAACAAAAGGCGATATCAGCTGTTATCATCAAATATAAAAATGCAATTAAATTGCAAGTCATGTTTTTATTTCCCATGATTTCAACTTGTTTTAGTATATAGGGTGAATGATTCTTGTTTTCGGCAGCCAATGCAGTAGTAAATCTGTGTTCGTAAATCCATGTAAAGCGTGTGGGATTGTGAGTTTAAGCTCTGGGTCTCTTCTGAGTGTAAATATTTACTTGAAGCGAGCGCCTCACGATATAAAGTCTATGCGCGTTCAGCATAAGAGCAGCCATCACCTGCGCCACACATGGGGCGAACTGGCGCTCTTGCCAGTCAGCTTCTCAAATCAAGTAGCCAGGTACCAGCTCCAGAAATCGTTCTTCAAGTCTACTAACTAATAAATTCTAAAATGCCGTGTTTTGCAGAATACCGGACGATGGAAGAAGTCCAAAAACTCAGTAATCCTGACCTTTAGGTAAGTTTAAAGGACATTTTCCTGGCTACACATTCAATTAACTACGTTCAAATCTTTGATTCGTTAATTTCTGATTAAAGAAATTGCTCTCCTTGACTATAAGATATTTGAAACTGATGTGTAGTGAAGAACCAACTGTAAATAGCTTTAAGAAATCTTCATCAAACACAGTAAAAATTAAGAGGCTTATAGTTTCTTCTTTAGTTCCTCCAAAGTAAGAAAAATTTATGACATGAGAGCAGCTAATGAAGCCTGTATACATATGGTAACACTGAAATATTTGGGAGCGCCGGTAGCAAATCATAATTTGGCGAAGAATTTCTATCATGCAGTTCAGAATCGTCTAGGGCCTACCTTCTTTGGTCTCCTATCTAAACATTTAAAATATATTACTCTATCGTTTTCTGTGGATGTGAAACTCGTCTCTCGTCCTAAATGAAAAACTTTGCGTATGGGTGTTTCTGCACAATGTTCTGACCGGAATATTTAGTACACTAAATAGGAAGTAACGGGAGAGTGAATTACATAAAGACGGACTTATTTCCCCTCGTCATCGAGCTTTATTCTTTTTTCCTTGGCACTACAGCCCCAGTGGGCCTAGGCCTACCTCCATGAACTTCTCCGTTCACTTCGGTTTTTCTAGTTCTTCGACATACGGTAGGGCTCCTTGGGCGGGTGATCAGCTCGTCGCAGGGCCTCTACCTGTACACAAACACAGAAAAACGCACACAAACATCCATGCCCTGAGTGGGATTCGAACCCACGATCCCGGTTTCCGAGCGAGCGAAGACAGTGCGTGCCTTAGACCGCTCGGCTACCGTGACCGGCCATCAAGCTTTATTAGGGCGATTAAATTAAGGAGTATGGGATGGATGGGACATGTAGCACACATGGTAACATGAAAAATACGTGGGAACGTTGACTAAATTAGCACCCGCACTTCTCACCGTCCCTGTGCAACTTCGTCGATGTATTAAATTTCACCCTTCAAAAACATTTGTCTCTTCCTCTTACTCGAACACATACGTTTCGGCCCAACTGCCCATCGTGAGGTGTACAATATATAGAGGAAACTGCTGCCTCCTTGTCACGCTACTTCCCTTCGAATTTTAAAAGCGTAATATTATTTTTAAAATATATGCCGTAATTATTTTGCTGTATGCACGTGTTGTGGGTCTGGTGTATATTTTGTTGGTGTGATGGTTTATCCTTCCCCTTCCCCCCCTTTTTTTTTTTTGCAATTATTCTTTCGAGCTATGTCTCTGTCGGCTGTAAACTAATGACAGAATGCTCATTTTAGAGTGGACGAAGAAAGTTTGGTGGATATTTAGAAGCCGGTTACGGTAGCCGAGCGGTCTAAGGCATGTACTACCTTCTCTCGCTAGGAAGCCTGGATCGTGCGTTCGAATCCCACACAAGGCATGGTTGTTTGGTATGTGTATGTGCTCATTCTGTGTCTGTGTTGTCCTGTGTTTAGGTAGAGGCCTTGTGACGAGCTGATCACTAGTCCAAGGAGTCCTGCCGTCTGTAAAATGATATAACGAAAAAGAGACCTCGATACCGTAAGGCATAAGAGAAGCGGATTATTTAAGTAAGGATATTTAGAAAACGGCGTTTCGACATAAGATACGACTGAATTTCAAGTTTCTCTGGAGGCGAATTGGGAAGAAACCATGATCACCACGTCCACAAATGTTATGCAGAACTTTCTACTGTGTAGGGTTTCTCTCGCATGCAAATACTTTCTTCTTATTCTTCTTCTCTACCTTTCCGTATCTTCTTATTTTTATGCCTCTTCCTTGTTATTTGTCGTATTTTCTTTCAATTCTCTTACTTCGCCACTTCTCTTACTCTCTTGCTCTTTCCCAATCCTTCTACTTTTAACTACTTTTTCGTTTATCTCTCCTCTTCCTTTCTCGTCTCCCTCTTGTCTTCTTCTGCAGAGATTACACCCAATGACACGCCCCATCTATAATTCTTTAAGTGATATAAATGTAAGGATGTTGGTTTCTCAGTGGTGTTCATCCAGAGCGGCCCATCACAGTGGCCGCGCGGTCTAAGGCATGACGCGTCTTCGTCCGTTAGAACCCTCGAATTGTGGGTTCGAATGCATGTCTGTGTGCGTTTATTCTGTGTCTGTGTTGTTCTGTGAGTAGGTAGCGGCCTTGCGACGGCCTGATCCACCGTCCAAGGAGTCCTACCGACTGTGTGTAGATCAAGAAATTGGAAAAGCGGCCAAGATCCACAAGGGCTGTAGAGCCAGATATACTGAGAGCGGCGGCAGTGACTGTGCTTTCGCTGACAAGAATGTAATGTTTGTGTTATAGTGAGGCGACCATCTGTCACCGGTCTACACGACATTTCGCTGAAACCGAAGGATAAGCTGAAGCATGTGTGTCGAGTCAAGGGGAACCCGCTCCCGATGGTGTTTTGGTACAAAGATGGCGTCCGGGTACAACCTTCCAGAAGAATTAGGATACATACAAAAAAGTAAGTTTAGGGGATTCTTATGTGCACATTATGAACTCATATTTATGAATATCAAAATGTCAACAAACTGATAATCTAGACATGTAGAAAACACATTGACGATAATAGCAGCAACAACAGCGTCACCATTTATAACGAAATTTCGACTATATGCTACAGGTAAATTGAGTTTACGTTTAGGAGTATGTTGGTAACAGACTATAAGGTAAGTTCGTAGTGATCGTACAGACAAACCTTTTGTCACGATAGCGACAGTATCGATATGTGCAATTATATCGATAGATAAAAATGGATATTTAAATTCCAAGTATTCTGATGCATTATCTTAAATATATAAGCCTGTCATTTTCAAAGGTAATATAGATGGGTCTATGTTGGACTCTGACATTACGGAGAGAACATACGAGTAGCCTGGAGGTATCTGAGGAGAATAACTGGTACGTGGCTGGAGAAAACTGCATAAACAGGAGCTTCGTAACTCATGCTTTTCCAAATATAATTAGAATAATCAATTCAAGCAGGATGAGATAGACAAGACATGTAGCATTCATGGGGGTCGAAGATGAATAATGTAGGATATTGGTGGGAAAGACAGAAAGAAAGAGACAGCAGACATGCCACAATACACTATCGAGTAGCGCTTATTAGCTGGTCTTACATGCAAACATTTTGCACTTCCAAAACCCGTGCTGCGTGCTCTTGTGCTTGATTCTGTATGCTACTTGCTTTCTTCCTCTGATGTCACAGACAAGAAAACGGACACAAGTTCACAGAACATGGGACAAATTAAAACTTTCAATTCATGGAAACAGTTATAAGAAAATAAGCGCATCTTATCTGAGTAGTCTGTAGAACGAAGTTTTTATCGGACCAGATAATTTTAAGTGCAGTTGTATACTTTGAACAGGGAATGATTAATTATATATGAATTCTCAATTCATGAAAATACAAATTCTATGCTAGCACGTTCAGATAAAAGTACGACAACACTGTGTGGGATGCAAGATGGAACACAAATTTTTAAATAACAGCGAATGTAAGCATAATTCTTAGTTGTCAGCTAGGGTCATAGTTTTCTGTACAAGATGTCCGACCTGCGTGTGAAAAAAATGAACCAAATTTCGGAAAACTAAATCTTCAATCCTGAAAGTTGGAATTACATACCCACAAATCAAATATATTGTAACGTGGATGGCCAGAGATTTGCTAAGCAACGACTCGGTAAACAAACCTCAACAATAGGGAAACTCTTTTCTATGCAGTCCGCGCCGAAAAAAGTACGAAGATATAGGAAGTCTGTTTCCAGGCAGAGCAGCTGTAAACATGCATCCACAACAATGGGAGACGGTGTTTACCCTGGGGGCAGTGCAAAGGAGTTATCTTAAAAACAAACGGCTCTACAGTTCAGCTCTGATTTCTGAGTAGAAGATAGCCACGGAAAGTTAAAGATTTAAAGTGTGGTTAGAAGGCTTCATTCACGTGTAATACTTGGAGTGTGTGATTCAGTGAGAGTGTTATATAGTTCCTGCGCTTTGGCTGTGGTACAAGGAGAGGACCAGTGTGTGTGTGTGTGTAAATCGGAAAGAGCGCTGTAGTAAATGTGATTAGGAGAGATTGTAACCAAGGTGCTAATAAATCCAATCATCCGAACTAGAACCCGTCCTTTTCGTCGCGCGTACCACCCTACACGTGACAATATACATGTACTTCGGTTTATTTATTCCAAATAACGGTAAATTTTGCATATGTTTATGATACTCATTTTTGATGTTACGAATGTGTAAAATTTCCAAGACTATGGTCTCGTGGGATGTGATACCGTGTAGTTTAGTAGACAAACAGTGACTTTTCGGAGGAAAATGCTCCCGCATCTTCGGGGTTGAAGGATGAAAGTCGATTTACCGCCACGGTATAAAATTCAAAGATTTTATATTTGGGAAAAAAAATAATCATTAACAAAATATGGCAAAGTTAGAATATTCGGAAACGAAGATAACAACTCAGAATTGCATCCACGATAAAATTAACATGAGATTAAATTCGTGGAATGCTTGTTACCAAAATACTTTGTCTTCCTTTCCGATCAATAGTAGAGTGAATTTACCGACTATACAACACGTTTTTTATTATCACATTATCACTACATGTTTCGACCTTAAGAGGTCATCTTCAGGTGTATGAACACGGCTGTATAATTACACGCGGTCACATTCACTTTTCACTCATTCGACCTTGTATCTTTTTCAGACATACTCTCACTAATATATCGAGTTCTTTTATAAAACACAGGTTAAAATTATTATTATTCTAATTTAATTGTTAAAAGTTAAAAGTTCGTGAATCGAAGTTCAATTCATTCAGTGACATGAATTCCTTTCCGATACCTAAAACCTATAGATTAAAATGCAGAAAAATATAACTGTACCTATTGTTCTGTATATGTACTAAACTTGGACTGTCATAATAAATTATGAATACAGATTGGGAGTGTCTGAAAACAGAAAACTGAGGAAAATATTTGGATGTAATAGGAAAGGAAAGAAGGGAGATTGCAAAAACCTGCACAAAGAGGAGCTCTACATTACACATATGTACCCTTCACCAATCATGATCACCTCAAGTGGGGTGAAATAGGCGCGGCATGTAACATGCATAGGAAAGATTAGAAATTCGTAAAGATTTTGATCGGAGTACTTGAATGGAACAGACCTCTTGGACGACCAAGGCGTAGATGGGTAGATAATATTCGAATGAATAAATTAGGGTGGGATACCACGGGCTATATTCATGTTGCACAAGAGAGGGCTCACTTACGAGCTAACTATGAACACGGCAGTGAGACTTGGGTTCCATAATTTCTTGACTGGCTTAGTGACTATCAGTTTCTCAGAAATTCTTCTCCATGGAGTTGGATCAGCTTGGTAAATAGTCTATGATATGTATGCAGTGTCCGTCATTTAGTGCACTCAATTTCACAACACTCGCAACCAAACAGGGAACACACAACACGAGACACGATATACACTGAGAGTAAGAGGAACGACTCCCACAGTGGTGGAACTATGCGCCGCGTTAGAATTGGGACAGATAAGATAAATAATCTTAACAAGTTTTTAGTATATAAATATTTATAACAACTGACGAACATTTTAAAATACTTTTTAAATTTTACAATGACATAATGGCAAGCAATGAAATAGATTAACGTAAATGGAGCACCTGATGATGGCACTATAGTGCCGAAACATGTTGTGAAATAACAAGTGAAATTGAGTGCACTAAAAGACGGGCCCTGCATACATATCATGGACGAAAATCAATGCAACAGGACGCTAAAATACAACATTATAAATAGTCTATATTGGCCTATTACTGCCGATGTGTCCGTCTGTCTGTATGTAATGACATACGTGTATTTGGATAAAAAGAATCTGACAAAACTTGATCTTCTTGCAGTACAATACATGGATACTACGTATTTTTATTTTCGGACGTGATAAGTCTATGTCCCGATTTCGGAGGAGTGCTAACCAATATGCATCGGCAGCCGGTGAGAAAATAGGCGTTCCATCGTGTTCACAAACACATCTAAAAATGGCATCCAGCAAGATGCGGTGTCTCATGACATGTGTTGGTTCTGCTTGTTGGAAATAAATATAAGCATCAGATGTGTAAAAGCAAACACTGGCAGAGTGTAGTAAGCTGTTAGATGTTACGATAAAACGAATGAAGTCCTGAAGGCCGAATTTTACGACCCTTGGGGCCACATGACCAATAACACGTGGTTTAAACGAAACCACGATATTAGGCAGATAGCTTTAGAATACACAAACTTACAGGTGGTTCATAATTTTTAATTTCCAAAAAATGTCATTAGGTTTGAAAAATCGATGAGGATAGGAAAAAAGAGCTAAGTAGAACCCGCTGGGTGATGAAAAAATAAAAAAAAAAAGAATAGCCAAGAACTCTGAAGAAAATATACCACTTATGGTACAGGGGGCAAGATAGGATATATGCAAATGAGGTTTAAAGAAAAAGGAGCGCGGACTGAATTAATCTGGCTCAGGATAAGGTACAATGGTAGATCCTTACGGACACTGTACTGAACTTTCGGATTCCATAAAGAGCCTACAATTTCTAAACGAGCTGAGATCTTGCTCTCTGGGGTTATTCCGTTCAAAAATAAAGCCATCAGTGATCCGTAACACGCCATGAATCGTAAGGAGTTTAGGTAAAGCTCCACTTTCGATCTCTACTCTTAATGTTGATCAGATGTGTGCTTCATCCTCAGGTCGTGTTATCGTACTGGAAAGAGCCCGTGTTTATTAAACACCCAGTAGCTTCCAACGCGCTTTTGAATATAATGACAAATACAAAACAATTTCCGACAACCCCACCGAAAAACGAACCCGGGCGCCAAATCTTCAGACACACGTTAGTGACTGAGCTACGAGGAAGCTTTGTAATTCTTCTATGGGTTTAAACTTGAAGGGCGAATTTGATTGTTTATTCAAATTTATATAACCACTCGAATTCAGTATTAGAAGTGGCATGGCTATGCTACAAGCCGGTAGGTCGTAGGTTCAAGTCCCGATGAGATCATTGGATTTTTTCATTTCACCTAATCCTTCCAGCCGGACTATAGCCCTGGGGTTGACTCAGCCTCTAATATAAATGAGTACCAGGAAGTAATTAAATAATTTTCCTGGGGAGTAAAGCGCGGCCGGTGCGTAAGGCTGACAACCTTACCGCCATCTTTTGAGCCGATGGTCTAGATAATGTGGGACCCTCAACGTCTCACAACCCTATGGGCCTCCACGGCCTGTTACAGGGATAGCTTTACTTTTTTTTTTACTCTTTTATGTTTTGTAATATGTACTCTTGTACCGATTAAGTTCTATCAAGCTGTAATGTTTCTGACTAGAATTTGGGAGGTACCTTTCGAAACTCGGGAGGGAACACTGATTACCCCTCCAGCAGAACTCTGGGATAGTACCTTA